CCCCCTCACCTTGGCCGAAAGAGGCGAGGGGAGCCAGGCACCGTGTCCGTGCCGCGCCGCCGAGACCTTCCCGCGAAACTCCGAAACGCTTCGGCGTTTCGGGTCCCGGAGACCTTTGCTCGCAGACTCGGGGGCCATTTCCACACCCCCGCCCTTCCCTGCATTGGGATTTAGACGAAACATCATGCAAAGGAATACAACGAAAATGAGAAGTCCTAAGCGAGTAAGCAGCGCAGGCTGTCTCCGGGCTGACCAGGACCTTCGCACCGCCCGTCTCCCTCCTCCTTCCACAGCCCGCTGCAGGTCCGCTTACACCCACCGCCTCGCGGCTGTAGAATCTCCTGCCCCAACTCTAACCGCGGGCCCCTCCCGCCCCTATAGAGTTAGTGCGGGACGGGGGGCTACCGCAGCGAGTTCAGATCAACATTGGCAGGCAGCTCCAGCCCAAGTGTCCAACCGAGAAGCGCCGCACTGACGGTGTCTCCCAGGTGAGGGGAGTGTGCTCCGCCTCGGGCAGTGCGGGCTGCCCGCGCTGTCTCCCCGCACAAACGCGCCCCGCAGTCGCAGAGACCGCAGCCCTCAGCCCTCAGGGCCTCCCACAGCCCAACGCACCAAGTCCTGGAGGAGGCGGTCTGCTGCCTGGAGCCCCGTACCGGCTCTTCCAGGCCCAAGGACCCTATCCCGGGGAAAGGAGAGAGGAGTCCTCTCTTCTTCCCGCCCTCCTCCGGTTCCTGGGCGCCCCCATCCCTTCTATCCCCGCGCGCCCAACTCCTTGACGCGCTCACCTGCTAAGCGGAGCGCAGACATGCGTTGGAACTCCGGCTCCTGCAGCCACTTCCACATCCTCCGGAACGTCTCCCGGCCAGACTTGAGTTTGCTCCAGGGTTTGGGGTTGCGCAGCAGGTCCGAGAGGGTCCCCTGGGAGCGGCAGAGCACCCTCTGAGCGAAGATGGCCTGTGGGATGCTGTAGCGCTTGAGCTCGGTGGTGATGCGCTGTGCCACCTCTTTGGTATTGATCTCTTCCATTTGTCCTGAATTACTCCCATTGCTCACCTGCGCGCCGGTCACGGAAGGGTTGGGCTCCCGGGCTGTGCCCAGGAGCTGCCCGTGGCCCTGGGCGTTCAGGTGGGCGTGGGGGTGGTGCGGAGGGAGGCCGTTGATGGGAACCATGCCGGCCGAGGTGGGCGTGAGGTGCTGCTCCCCGTGCCGGCCGAGCATGGCCGGGTGGTGGGCTTCGAAGCCGTTGGGGGTGAGCATCTTGTCGGTGGGCATGGCGGCGCCAGGGTGAGCATAGTGGGGGAGCCCTTGCTGGGAGTTGTGGATGCTGCCCAGACCGGAACCAGAGAGGGGCGAGAGGCTCTGGCCCATGCCGGCCACGTCCTTGTGGTAGGGGGTATAGAGGTTATTCATGGAGGCCAGCCCTCGCTCGTCCCGCATGAGCGTGAAGCTACCGCTCACGTTGCCCGCCAGGCGCTGGTGGTGGTGCGGGTGGTGGTGGTGATGGTGGTGGTGGTGGTGGTGATGGTGGGGAAACTTGTCCGAGACGGTGGAGATGGGCGGCAGCGGCTGCAGAGGGGTCAAGGTGG